GTTTTTCATTTTTTGCCTTCCTCCTAACCGCCGAAAAGAATTCAGATAGAGGTCCTACTCCAGGAAGGGAATAATTTGCATAGATAACTACTGTATAATATGAACTAGGTATGGCAAACAGGAAGGAACCTAGCAAAGTTTGTTTGTTAAAATTTCTCTCTGTATCCCATTGTTTCTGTATGGCCCAGGAAACATTTGCTTACCAAAAATTTACTTTTTTTCATCTACCAGTGAATTTTCTTCCCTTTGAAGTCCCAGACCCTTATCCCTTTTCTCCTTAGCTCTGAATGGCATATAAGCCTCAATTGCCTGACTGCCTATAGGCCTCAAATTCTTTACAGAACATCTGTATGAACATAATCAAATTTGATTTTCTCCTGTTCGTTTGTCTCATGTCAATTCTTAGACCAGCCAAAAGAATTTTGAAAGGTCTAGAAAAATTTTTCCTCCCCAATTCTTTCCTGCTTATTCTCATACTTCTCAGTCTCCACTGGCAGCTATACCATTTCTGACCATCCCTTAAATGCTTGTGTTCTTCTGGATTCTATTCCAGAAGATTCTATTCCCCTCTTTTTTTCTGATTCTTCCTGGTTGATATCAGTCATTCACTAGGACTTCAATTATCTTCTGTATATTGATGATTCCTAAGCTTTTAAACATAACCAGACCTTTCCCCTGAGCTCCAAACCCATACATCTAACTGCCTACTGGTCATTTCAACCTGGATGTTCCACAGGCACTTCAAACAGACTATCCAAAAATGACTCATCTTCACCTGCCACACCTGTCGTTCTTCTCATTGTCCCATCTCACTGAATAGGAATAGGACCACTATCTTTCCAGTTGGTTCATCACTTAGAAACCTGAAATTTATACTGTCCTTTCAACCTCCTCATTCCTTCCCCACACAAATGAATAACCAAGTCCTATTAATGCTACATGCCAAACAGCTCTTAGATCTATTTACTTTTATCCACAGTCTCACTACCCTTGCCCAGGACACTGTATTTTCTCATCTATGTTAATACAACAGCCTCATAAGTGATTCTCTTGACCCCAGTACTGCTCACTTCCAATTCTCCACACAATAGTTAGAGTGGCCTCTAAGGATATAGAGCTTACCATACCCTTCTTGTGCTTAATGCTCTTCATTGGTTCCCTTCTGTCTAAAAGATAAAGCCCATTTTTAAAATGTGGGTTATAATCAAAAAGAGGAAACCAACTAAAAAACAGACTCTTAACTATAGATAACTGGTGGTTATCAGAAGGGATGGGTGAAATAGGGGAAGGGGATTAAGTGAACACTTACCTTTGGAGCACAGAGTAATATATAGAAATGTTAAATCACTATATTATACACATGAAACTAATTTAACATTGTACATTAACTATACTGGAATTAAAATTTTAAAAAGAGCCTAAAAAATAAATAAATGTAGGTTATAAAGTTCTCATCAGAGCCACCTGGGTGACTCAGTCAGTTAAGCATCCTACTCTTGATTTCAGCTCAGGTCATGATCTCTGGCTCTGGACTCAGTATGGAGTCTACTTGTCCCTCTCCCAAAACTCCTCCCCCCACTTGTGCTCTTTCTCTTTCTCTCTCAAATAAATAAATAAATCTTTAAAAAATAAAGTTCTTTTAATCTAACGTCTAAATTGAAGTTGTTGCCATCCTGAACTATTTGCCATATTCCAAATACTCCATGTACTTGGGCCTTCGTATATGAAATGGTCCTCCCACCACACACTGATTGCATGGGAAACACCTGTTTGTCCTTCTTACCTTCCATTTTATGCCTCTTCCTGAAGTCTGGGCTAAGTGCCCCCTGCTAAATGCTCCCATAGAACTTGGTACGCCTTCTCTCATAGCCTTGTCATTACTTCTTTACCTGGCTTCCTCTCTAGCAGGTTTGTGAGCTCCATGAGGGAAAGGCTAGCTTTATCTTGCTTGTGACTACATCCCTAGCACACAGAAAGTGCATTGCCCATAGCAGGGGCTTAATTAATGCTTGTTGAATGAATGAGTAACAAGCCAACGTAAACTTGAGCCCCATACATTTCAAAAAAGGAAAGTGAATAAGAAAGCCACTGATTTCTGTACGTTGACTTTGTATCCTGCCATGTTACTGAATTGCTGTATGAGTTCTAGTAGTTTGGGGGTGGAGTCTTTTGGGTTTTCCATATAAAGAATCATGTCATCTGCGAAGAGAGAGAGTTTGACTTCTTCATTGCCAATTTGGATACCTTTTATTTCTCTTTGTTGTCTGATTGCTGTTGCTAGGACTTCTAATACTATGTTGAACAAGAGTGGTGAGAGTGGGCATCCTTGTCGTGTTCCTGATCTCAACGGGAAATAAGTCAAGCAGAGAAAGTCAATTATATGGTTTCACTTATTTGTGGAGCATAACAAATAACATGGAGGACAAGGGGAGATGGAGAGGAGAAGGGAGCTGAGGGAAATTGGAAGGAGAGGTGAACCATGAGAGACTATGGACTCTGAAAAACAATCTGAGGGTTTTGAAGGGGCGGGGGGGGGGGGGGTGGGGGGATCCAGGTGGTGGGTATTGGAGAGGGCACGGATTGCATGGAGCACTGGGTGTGGTGCAAAAATAATGAATACTGTTATGCTGAAAAAATTTAAAAAATCAAAAAAATAATAAAAATTAAAAAAAAAGAAAGTGAATAATAAAGACGACTTTTAAAAAATCAGTTAATGGGGGTGCCTGGGTGACTCAGTGGGTTAAAGCCTCTGCTTTTGGCTCAGGTCCTGATCCCAGAATCCTGGGATCCAGCCCCACATCAGGTTCTCTGCTCAGCGGGAAGCCTGCTTCCTCCTATCTCTCTCTGCCTGCCTCTCTGCCTACTTGTGATCTCTGTCAAATAAATAAATAAAATCTTTAAAAAAATAATAAAAAAGTAAAAATCAGTTAATGTATGTCGTAGAACACAGAACATAATTTTTAAAAAAACTAACAACAGTGTTCAGCTCTTGGTAGTAGGATTATGGATCATTTTTCCTTTCTTCTACATAACTTTATATACCAAATTTTCTATAATGAGTGTGCCTTTTATGGTAGAAAAATAATGTTATATGTTATAAAATAAGAAGAAACACCAATTACAAAATATTTTTATGTCTTTTCTTCAAAATAAAGACAGTACCAAATACAGTGAAATATGATCACTGGGTTCCCCCATCCCCAACCACATTGCTGGAAGGTGAATAACACCATGAAATCTCTGCCTTATTTCACCCCAACAGAAGTATTATGCTGACAACATAACCGAAGTTGCAAAAATCACATTAGTACCTAAGACCTGAATTGTCACCAATGTTTTTCATATATATTTTTTAATTCTGTAGAAACTATTTTTAATAAGAAGAACTCAGATCCTGATTTGATGCACAGAAACATAACTATCAACTTTATTTTATATTTGGAAGTAAACATGACAAAAATAAGAACTCCATCAGGTTTAGATGACTGGAACAGGCTCTCCTCTGCTCTGAATGGTTTGTGTTCTTTTCAGCGGGAAAATAATGCTACAGGAGAAAAGTAAAATAGAGTAAAACAACTTGAAAGGACTAGTATACATACATCACACTACTTTGTTAGAAGAGGAAATGATTGCAACAAAGTTCTCAAACTCTGCATATTCAGTGTTACGTTTAACTTACGTATTTTCCGTTTGCCAGTGTATCATCTTATGTTACTGTGAGGCTAAGACAAAATACACTGTGGCAAATACAATGACAATTTCTGAATAACAAGGTGAACTTCCATGCCCCAGTAAATGGCCCACAGAAATCATATTGTTAGTCTATTTATAAAGTCATATATGTGTGTCTGTGTGTGCATGCATATGCACATGTATATATTGCATTAAACTTATATAAAGCAATGATATATAGGTATGTATATACATGTAATCATAATATATATTTATGTATTACCTTAGATATGTATAAATACATATATTTATGTATTTATATATTATATAAAATACCTTATATAAGAATTTTGTTTCTTCTGAGATAAGTCACATTTCTTATTCATCTAGTCCAAACTTCTTATTTTGCAGCTTGGTGAACTGAAGCCCAGGGAAATTAAGGGAATTGCCCAAGTTACCACTGTACATAATGGCAGAACTGAGACTAAAGCCAGAGTCTCCTGACACTAAGATCAATGGTCTGTTATTCCACTCCTCTGCTTCTCTGTAACTGAGGCTAGAACTTAACAATTTAAATGTGAGTATTGCGGGGCACCTGAGTGGCTCAGTGGGTTAAGCCTCTGCCTTCGACTCAGGTCATGATCTCAGGGTCCTCTACTCAGCAGGGAGCCTGCTTCCTCCCCTCTCTCTGCCTGCCTCTCTGCCTGCTTGTGATCTCCCTCTCTCTGTCAAATAAACAAATTTAAAAAATCTTTTAAAAAAATAAAAAAAAATAAATGTGAGTATTGCACTGCAATTTTCAAAGCATTTTCACATACATTATATTGTTTAAGTGATATAAAAAAATTTCAGCTTATGGTATCAAGTTGCTGAAAGGTTAACTTGTCTGTGAAAATGCTATAAGATAATGGCCTGAGTCTCTTGACCATCCCCCAGTCCAATACTCTATTCCCTGATACCTCTCTTCTAACTGACCATTTTATTCTTAGTTGGCTCTTCCTAATTATTATGGAAGGAGGAATCTCCACACCTAGGAGATCTGTAAGCCTAAGGTCCAGGTAGTCCCTGCTGTATGATTCTGGGATCCCTCAACCACTCATAATACTAAATTATTTAAGTTTGGGGAGCAGGTAGCTGAAACTAACAGCTAGGATCCAGGATTGGATTGCAGATCTGTCAGATTCCTGAAGCTACCCTCTTTCGCCTGCCTATCTGGCATGGTCAGTACATATGGGTAACTACAGCCATTAGTATTTAGCGAAGGTGTCTTTCATGGAGCTGCAGAGTCAGAGCAGACAGATTCCACTTATTTCTTCTAACGGGCTGAACTATGGATACCAAACAGTGTGGTACCCAAACAACTTGGCACCTTTCTTGTCCACCTTCCTAGAACCCAAATCTCCCCAGTGATAATACTGTTTCAGAAGCTCATATCCTGTGGTCCAAACATTTGTGGGATTAAAACAAAAACAAAAACAAACAAAACCAACCAACCAATGAAGCACATCAATTGAACCAAGATAGTGGTAAAAGAATCAAACATTAAATACTTCAATTTTATACCCTACTGCTAATTACCTTTGGTCTCCTGCTCTTTTTCATCACCTAAACCTTCCTCCTCTTCTGCCGTTGTCCGTAACATTTCAGCATCCCTCTTTATTTTCTTTCTTTGTTTCTTCAAACCCTTTAAAATTCTGTTGACTCTCCTTCGTAAAGGATTGGCCCATTTGCTGTAATGTTAAAAATTCAAAGTGAAACCTTATTTTTCAACAGTGATAGAACAATAACAATTAGGGTTATAAAAAATGATGGGTTATAAGGAAAAGGCTATTTACCCACATAACTCTTTATACATTCCCACCTGATTATTTAACTCACCATATTTAGCAAATCTGATAGAAAATATTGCACTTGGCTCATTCATATTTATCATTGTAACCACTACTATTACTCTACATAGTGTCATTTTGATAACTTGATCCTCTTCCACAACAGTAATGCTGTCATACCCCCCTTTGCTGACATCAATGTTACTCACACTTCAAGACCCAGCTTATATATTATTTGCCTTGGAAACCTTCCCTTTTACTCCTAGCCTATAGAGATTCTTCTTTCCTATTAATTTAAAAACTAAATGGTAATAGTTCACATTACATTAACAACTTTAATTTTACAAGCTTACACTTTCACTGACTATTGCTATCATTTGGAATTCAGGTGCCCCAAGATCTCTCACTTTCTAAAGATCTAAGCACAAGCCAAGGAGAAAAGCTAGAAATGCTCAAAGCAAAAGTAAGGACGGAAACCCAAAAGAGAAAGGAAGATTTCCATATGATGTTATGAAGAAGTAATGACAGATACATAATCCTAGCCTCAGCTCAAAGCAAGGTAGTGTACAGAAGAGGACACCTGGCTCCTGACAGTGCTACTTAGGTATACAGAGCAACCAGGTTCTTAGCATGTGGGGCCCAGAGATTGACAAGCCTGCCCTTGAAATGATGACTTTGAAGGTAATATTCACTTTTCTCCCCTCAAACTGCATTACTGAGTTGTCACTGAGCTCCACCAAGTAAGACATATATGGAGCAAATAAATACTTTTTCCTCAGTTAATCATAAAAAAGTCTCCAGGCGTAAATGAAATAGTGGGTGAAGGCCAAAAATGTATTTATGATTTACCTATGGCCTCTTTATGTTTTAGTGCTATTAACTTCAGTCTCAAAAAAAATAATAACTGAAACAACTATATAGTTCTCAGTCTCTTGGGGCCAGATGTGGTCCAGAGTGCAGAATATTTCGGGTTTTAGAAAGGTAATATGACATGATATACTGAATATTACATGGCACTTCCATAAGGTCTGAAGCAACATCTCATGATCAAACACAATAATATTTCTATGACAAAATATATGATTGTTCATTTTAAGCATTAACTAATGACTAGAAAATGTCTCAGGTCAGGTCAGCTCAGGTTTTGTTGCCAAATGAGTTTAAAAAAAGTTTTAGGTTTGTAGAACTTTTTGAACTTCAGAATTTTAGATAAGAAATTGGGGATTTATTCTGTTTTTCTAATATGACTTCAGTATATTTTATTTTACATAATTAAAATGACTATTTTTTATCCATAGATTTTACTTTAAATTTAATGGAGTACATTTCACCTTAGTTGACAAAGAAAAATGCAACATGGCCTTATTATTTTGAAATGCACTGCACTAGTCTAGTCTGCAGAGAACTAGGTTTTAGGTTCAGCCTTAACATTCATTACTGAGATCCAAAGTTAGATATTCTACCCAATATCTACTGAGAATGCCCAAGAGGGAAAGTAGGGGTGAAATGATTTGTCCAAAATCCTAGAGGTGATTTTCTTCTTTTTATGTAAAATATCATATTGTGACCAGCATACTCAAACTTGAAACGTACAGATCAACTTGTCTCATACTCATCCACTCGCTGACACATTTGCTCATTTATGAAATAAATACCATTCTCAATACTAGAGACATAAGATGAATAATATATGTGTCCTGCCCTCAAGAAGCTTAAAATTTAGAAGGGAAGACAGCTATATAAGCTGAATTATATCACATTGAGACGATCCAAACAGCAGTAAGCAGAGATTGGTAGGAGACAAAAAGGAAGAAGCCTGACCCAGTCTAGGTTGGTGGTCTGGGGTAAGCTTCCTAGAGGAGGTAACATCTAAGCTGAGGCCTGCATCCAGGGTAGGGAGAGCCAGATAAAGAAGAGTGTTGATAGGAAGATGTACAAGAGCTTTTCAATCAGTGGGTGGTACATTGTGTGAAAAGATCAGAGTGGCAAAGAAGTATGTTGTTTGTAAACATCAAGTAGAGTGGTGTGGCTGGAAACACTAATTGGCTCACTGGGAATTTCTTGTTATACAGATCTATACAGTTGTGAGATTATTTTTCTCTAAGAATTCCCAGGAACCTATAGATCTAGAAGCAGAGAAGTAGTCTGGATTCTATTTCAAAGAAACAAAGGAGCTGGAAAGAATGGACTCATGTATCAGACGATAGGATCCAGGCTAGATAAAGAAATCAGATAATATTAAAAGATAGAAAACAGAAGATAGGGGAAAACAGAGTTAAAGACCCTAGAGGTCTCAATGAGAATAGGTGTAGCAAGAGTAAAAGAAAAGAAAAACCTAGAGGACAAAGCACCTATCTATAGTCAAAGAGTAGTTTGAGGTTCGAAGTTTAAGATTTCAGAGACTCAGAGTTCAATTTGTGATGAATGACAAGATTTAGGATATGAGCATGAAAGTGGGTGGCCAATACAGAATACAGGAGAGATTCCTCAGAATTGAGTGCATCAGGGAACTCTGAAGCTATGGGCTTAGATGGCTCATAACATAGACAGTGAAGCTTCCCAGGTAGATGACCAGATGGAGAAGAACACAACACCTAGCAACTGCCCAGACCAAAGTAAGAGCTCGATAAATAAGGAATAAAAATAAATAATAAATAAATAATTAATAATAAATAAAAGGTCTGGAATTCAGATATTCTTTTTTTTAAGATTTGTATTTATTTATTTGACAGAGAAACAGACAGAAAGAGAGGGAATACAAGCAGGGGAAGTAGGAGAGGGAGAAGCAGGCTTCCGCTGAGCAGGGAGCCTGATGCTGGAGTTGATCCCAGGACCCTGGAATCATGACCTGAGCCCAAAGCAGATGCTTAACGACTGAGCCACCCAGGCGCCCCTAGAATCCAGATATTCTTGAATGCTTTAGAAGATCTTGAATAATATAATAAAATGAAATAATACTATCTTTGGAAGATTAATCTGGCAGGACATTACAGGATGGAATAGAAGGAGCATAGATTAGGAACCCAGGTATATGTCCAAATTGGCTTGGTAAGCATCCTTAATAACTCCCTCCTTCTTAAGGGCACAGCCATATATTCCTATCAAAGTGCCAGGAACCTTCTCCAGGACTCAACTCCTAGCCATCTTCCAAACCCCACTTACAGTTCCAACCTAGTTATATTCTCTTGTGTATAAACTCTTTGGATTAAACACCTTATTCCAGTGCCCTCTGCAGTTCTCAATCCTTTCTTTGCCCTTGGATGCTAGCTAGCCTTTTGTTGTAGGACTGAATGCTTGTGTCCTTAAAACTCATATATTAAGCCCTAACTTCCAGTATGGTTATATTTGCAGACTGGGGTCTCTAAGTAATTAAGCTTAAATGAGGTCATAAGGGTGGGGCCCCAATCAGTAAAACGAATATCATTATAAAAACTAATTTTTCAGTTATTTATTTATTTATATTTTTAAAAGATTTTATTTATTTATTTGAGAAAGAGAGAGAGAGAGCACACAAGCAGGGGGAAGAGCAGAGGGTGAGGAAGAAGCAGACTCCCCACTGAGCAGGGAGCCAGCCCAGGGCTGGATCCCAGGACCATGAGATCATGACCTGAACCAAAGTCAGACACTTAACCAACTGAGCCACCCGGGTGCCACAATTTTTCATTTTCTTAAACTAAAAACCAGAGATTTTGTTTTTTTCTCTCTCTTCCCCTTCTCTCATGCATCAAGGAAAGGCCATCTGAGTACACAGTGAGAAGATGGCCATGTGCAGGAAGAGAGCCCTCGCCAGAAATCAAATCCTCTGGCATCATGATCATGGACTTCTAGCCTGCAGAATTGTGAGAAAATAAATGTCTGTTGGTTAAATCCCCTGGTCTCTGGTGTTGTGTTATGGTAGCCCTAAAAGACTAATACACCTTGGCTCCTTTTTGTTCCTCTCCTGAAACCACGTAACCGGGACAGAAGTTGACAGCATACAAGACCTGGACCAAGCTGTATAAATAGATAAATTTGAGAAGAGGCAAATCTCAGACTCATTCCAAAGGAAAGCAAAAAAAATGACAATGGATTAAGAGAATAGATTACATACTGCAAATAAAGGAAAGTAGTCACCGATGACTCTAAGGTTTATAGTTTGGGAGACTAAAGAAATTATTGATAGAAATGGACAGATGTCAAAGGGAGATGATTTGAGAGAAAAAAAAGATAAGTTCAGTTTTCCACAGGTTGCATTTAAGGTACTAACAGAACCTAATTCATGAAGGCAATTAGAAATTTGGAAGAGGTAGAGGTAAGGATTTCAGGATTCAGATTTTTTTTTAAGATTTTTATTTATTTATTTGACAGAGAGAGAGATCACAAGTAGGCAGAGAGGCAGGCAGAGAGAGGGGGAAAGCAGGCTCCCCACTGAGCAGAGAGCCCGATGCGGTCCTCGATCCCAGGACCCTGAGACCATGACCTAAGCCCGAAGGCAGAGGCTTAACCCACTGAGCCACCCAGGCACCCCAGGATTCAGATTAAAAAAAAAAAGATTTATTTAATTGTTTATTTATTTGGGGGAGGAGAGAGCATGAGAAGGGAGAGGGGTAAAAGGAGAGGGGGAAGCAGACAGCCCGCTGAGCAGGGAGCCAGATGTGGGGGCTTGATCCCAGGACCCTGGAATTAGGACCTGAGCCAAAGAAAGATGCTTAACTGATCGAACCACTCAGTCACCCTCCCCAGGATTCAGATTTAAAAAGAGTTAATCACCCAGAGAAAACCAGAATATTACTATCAGAAAGGACCTCGGGAATTATCTAACTCAATTCTCTACTCTAACTTCAAGAGAAAACCAGTACCAAAAGAAGTTAAACTCACTATAAGACTGGTAGAGAAGACAGAACTAGAATACAGATCTTTTCAAATGTTCTTTCTGATACATACTTGTAATATTCTCTGGTAGATAAGAATAAGACTTTGGAAAACAACCACGGCTAGGAGAACAAAGAAAAGCAAACTGCGATGGATCAGAATGTAAGGGGAACAATGAAATCTAAGGAAGGAAATTTTCAAGAAAGGAGCAGTCAATAATGTACTACTATGTGACAAAAAGTTCAAGTTGGATGGGAATTGAGAAAAGGCCACTGCATTTTGCAATGAGGTTATTAGTTACTTGGCAACAAAATGTTCTTTTTAATAGTACCTACTATTCCAGAATTCTCTAAAATGCTGCCCTTGGAGTCTTTGCAATGGGAACACCTCAGACATATAATCTGCATATAATGAGATTCTCTTATTATTTCAGTAACTAAATTACTTTGAACAGGGTCCAAGAAGAACTGGCTTTATGTGAGTTTCAAATCTATAGTGACTCATGTCAGAGCAGGGTTCCAGTTTGCTCGCATTCTCATCTGATCATGTTTTATCAAAGTTCTTAGAGACTAGCCATACTTTTAAATTTTATAGACTTTATTTCTTTTCTCTGAATTCATATGTACATAATCCAGGAACTTCAAACCTTTCAGCAGTTGGTTAATTACTACATAAAGCTTTTCAAAATAACATTACTAATTATATTGTACAGTATAATGAAACACACAAACATGGGGATTTGAAAATGTAAATGCCTATTTTTAAAATTCAATGGGTGATGATTTTTAGGCAATTTTTGACACATTTATTCCCAATTCTTTACCTCCCTTTCTAAGAAACTAAGCGGTATTAAGACTATCTGCATAATGAAAACCACATTATAAATACAGAGAATCACGCAGCAGGATCTGTCTAAATGTAGAAATTTTCAGTAACAGCCATCTGGCAAGAAGCAACATTGAAAGTGTATGGGGGATGTTCTATTTACATCATCTGTGTATCAGATGATCTACAATCTTTAAAAAAATGGCTTTTTATTAGTTGAGAGAAAACATAGTTTTGTCATTTGCAGACTGAGTTCTGAATTTTTTTCTTAATTCAAAGTTGCAAAAAAAAAAGAAAACAAGAAAATGCACTCCATCTGAGTTTAATAGGCATGGTATTATAATATTTGAATTTTCCACCTTACCAAAGCTATGTACATACTCAAGTATCATATCACTATATAATACACAAATGTTTAACTGGCCTATGCATAGAGATTAAACTTTATCTAAAAACAGATAAAGATTAGAAACTTAATTTGACACTTGAGACTACTATTATTGGCATTCTATTACTGTAACAGGAACAATTCAGACACCGCTCTTCTCCTCTCTCCACTAGAGCCCTCCTCCCTGCTTTCTTTTGTCCTCATCCACCTGATCTTTTCCTTTCTTCATCTCATATATAAGTCTTAAGCCAGCCAGTAACACTTAAACCTAATGAGGCTTCTGATCCCTATTAATGAGAATAAAAATAGATCTTACATAACCTTGAAGATGTAATGAATTTCAAAACTCATCTTATATGCAAGTTTAATAAGGTTATTAGTAGCAAATTCTTAGAAAGTGTTTCACTAATGCTTTCTGCTCCCTTTTGTATATGTGCAACCAGCTCAAGCGGTCTCAAGTTCTCTGTGTACCTGGTTCGTACCACACCTGAACTCAAGTCAAGTAGAAGTAAACTAGAGATTCCATTATAGATTACTCCAGGGGCAAATTTCAGCCACCTCTGCTTACAAGTGATGAGCAGTTAAGGAGGAGACTCCATCTGGATGTACCGGATTCTGTGGGAGCACCCTTCAACCTAAATCTTGTCCTCCCTTCAAAACTCAGCTCAAATAGCACCTCCACTGTGGAACCAGCTCTGCTCTCTCCCACTTATCCTGATCCCCACTGCCTCAGAACTTCGACAAGTTATTGCCACCACTCTTTTAGTCCTTAATTATATTCCGTCTTGTACTGTTATTTAATATATCATGCTTGGGACTTATTTTAAGGTAGATTTAAACTTCTTGAAAGTCGGGCCTATGTCTTGGACATTTCTGTATCCTCCCTAGCACAAGCAGTGACTAAATACGGTCAATTATGGAAAGCATGAATTAGGCACCAAAAGAATGAAATACATTGGCTCTGGAAAGTGATTATCATCTTCCCTTAAACTGCTTTCATTTCTCCCACCTGCTCATATTACTTCTCATTTTTACTTCCTCCAACTCTTGCCTGAGGCAATCTGTAAATAAAACTCACTGTCCAAATTGCAGGAGCTGGGGAATGTCAAGACATCACTTGTTGGCTTACAACTAATGGCTGAGAGGGGAGACGTACAACATCTGAAGGTGTGTATATTTAATGTAGAGGACAGGATCCAGCAGGAGGAGGAGCTTAAGAGTATCTTTCAGTGTCTCAAGAGTTCTTCTAACAAATAGGTCCAGATCATGTTACTGCAGATCTGCTTTTGGCTTTTAGCCCCTCTGATTTAGACAAACAACTGTGTTTGGCTACTTTCTTCTCTTTTTAAAACCACTACATATTGATTTTACTGCTGCATCTACTTCCCTTTTATGTGGTCATTTATTTTACCTACTGCAATATTTTATCTATCTCTTTATTCTTTGAAATGAACAAGAAGTGAGTTAAGGGGATAGTTCTAAAGAGATATCTTGACCCCCAAAAGGCAGAGGGATGGTTAGCAGGCTTTGGCTTCCATTTAAGCTCCTTGTTCGGTATCAAGGATAGGATCTTTATTCTATCACAATTACTAACCTTGCCTCTAACATCAGCTTACCAGGAAAAGCTTGACAGTGCCGCATCCACCCTCGAACACCCATTGTTCCTGGAAATTAAGCTAAGTGGCAAAAAGCTGCCCCCACATAATCCAGGGTTGTAGCAAACAACGCAGGACGTCTGAAGGAACATGCCAGTCTTACACAAAATTGTAAAAAAAATTTAAAAAATAAACAAATAAATAAATCATAGTGAACCAAAATTTTTGGCGTTCAGTAAACATACTATTCACATTGTTCCAGTCTCAAGCAGTTTATACTATGTAGAAAGAAGAAAATATATTCTTATCAAGGAATAATTCTTTGAATTTCATTTTAAAGAAAAATCCAGTGTACCTGAATATCCCCACAAAACTCCTTGGCAGAGACACAATACAGAGGCTATAATTAAATGATTGTACCGGGCCTGTTACACCAGGCTCCAGATTGCATGGCATAATCCTAGCCACAATTTTCTAGTAAATATGATTTCATTTTTATTCAGAGTTATCTTTTATCTGAAATCAAACTTGGAAGAAGGAAAGGTCAAAAATTCCACTCCTATTCCCAATCATCTGTGGAAAGAAAGAAAATGAGAGAGGCCTAGGGATTACACACTCAGTACTGGAAACTAAGTAAAAATGGAAAGAATTGTCAGCAAACTGGAGGAGTTGAAATGCTGTGACTCCATGTGTCTTCAAAATGGTCTGAGAAAATGATATAAGCGATGAGAAACTTTAAATTACTGTAAGACTGTCTTCCAGGCTATCCAATGCCAGCTACTATATTTCTTTATTCATTCAACCACTCATTTATTCAACAAAAATATATTAAGTGCCTTAATATATATATTAATATATATCTTAATATTAATATATATAATATATATAATATATATAATATAGCACCTTGCTATGGACTGAAAATACAGTGTTGAATATGACACACTCATCAAACACAAGCAAAATGTACAAAAAAGAAAAAAAACACTTAATGACCTTTATGGAAAATAAGGTAACTTGTGTATAGTATAGTGTCAATCTTCCAGTGAAATCTAAACAATTTTTTGGTACCTCAAATACCACTTTCTCATTAACTTGAATAAACACATCAGAGAAGCTTAATCTTCAATAGGTGACTTTGCTTTTTCTTTTCTTTTCTTTTTTTTAAGATTTATCCAGTCATTTGAGAGAGAGAGAGCACACATGCATGGTGCAGGAGTGAGGTGGGGGTGGGAGGTGGTGAGGGAGAGGGAGAGAAGCAGACTCCCCACTGAGCATGGAGGCTGAGGCCAAACTCCATCTCAGGACCCCAAGATCCTGACCTGAGCCGAAATCAAGAGGCGGACAACCAGCCGAGCCACCCAGGCACCCCAGGTACCTTTTCTTTCCCTGAGAACTGAAGAAAATACCTACGTGCATGGTCATGCTAGTGCCCTTATACAAACCTGAGAGTGAGTGCCTCCTTAAATTTTGTGCTCCAACTGTCTCACTCATCCTGGCCCTGCTCTTTATCTCCACATCCACTGTTCCAGTAGGTAGAGAGGTATTTTTTAAAGCCTTAGAAACATCATGCCAATAGGCCCCTGGGATTTTTTATAAGATGGTAAGAAGAAATCTGATACAAATTGGCTTGAAGACAGACCAAGGCTTTTAAGACCCAATAGTAGATGACCAGCTACTAGATGGAGACAACACTTCTGGGAACTCTTCTGACTTGCAGTTAATAACCACTTCCACTCACACACTCCCAGCTCACTGATGTATTTTTCCTTCCAATTGTGTGATGAGGGAAGGTACAGACTATGCAAGAGAATGTCTAAATTTATGGAAAAATAAAATAACATGCATTTAAGAATATTATGGGAACTCTATTTTGGGTTTTTCTTAAGCTACCTTCTTTTAAACAAAAGGGACCCAAACATAATCCTTGTGTTTCTAGTGCATACGAATAAATGTGTCTACACAGAAATATCCAAATACACTCAGCAATCAGCAAATAAAAGTTTATGTTTGCCTACCTCCTCCGGCAAAGAGCGCAGCAATAAATGGGCAGACATCCCAGGATGATCATGCTGATCACACCAAGCCCAAACATCCGGAACATCTGTGTAGGCTCTGTTGGTTTAATTATATCCTGTTACTTTTATGACTTAAGCAAGAGAAGCAAATCTGAGCTCTTTCATAAAGTTTTTATTTAAAAAACTACCAGTGAATAAAGCAAAATAAGGAGGTATTCTTATATGACAGGTAAATATCTTTGCTACTCTATCAGAAGCAGGAGTTTATGAAATGTTCTTGAAATACAATTAAACACTACACTTGAAATACATGCTTCCCAAAGGAAGCCTTAGCAAAATGATCCTACTGTTTTTGCTAACAGACTTAGTAAGACTCATACTATATATTTCTTCCTATAGCTTAAGCGTGTTTTTTCCCTTGGCCATGTTATACATTCTCAAGCAGTCAAGGAGTGACTTAATCTATGAATAGTTAATTTGTTAAAGGAATGGCTTCTTAAATGTTTACTTCAAATTATAAAACATTGAACAAGAAATTAAGAATTTGCAGGTGAATAAGCATATTTTATTCATTTTTAAGATTTGATTTATTTATTTATTTATTTATTTATTTATTTGCTTTAGAGAGAGACTAGAGGGAAGGACACAGGGAATGGGACAAGCAGACTCCACGCTGAATACAGAACCTGCTGAGAGCTTGATCTCACACCCCTGAGATTAGGACCTGAGCTGAAACCAAGAGTTGGACACTCAACCAACTGAGCCAGCTAGGTGCCCCAAGCATATTTTATTCTTATATTCATTTGGAAATGCATTCTAATATGATTGGGGAATTATAAGTCACGGTTCAATTTTCCCCTCTATAAAGACCAAATGTCTCTTCACACATAATATAAAAACTAAACTGATGAATGAATTATAAACAACATGTGACAGTGTTGAAATTGTAATACTATATTCATGATCAGGTTTCAGTTTCCATTATTAATACTAGATGTTCAACAAAGAGCTGTAAATTGAATAGGGACTATATTAATCTAAGACATTGTTTTGCATGCATCCTTTTTGTAGTATTTGTTAGTGTTTAATCATATCTAATATGCCCTCATGGGACCAACTGGTAATATGTCCCTACTGTCCAAATGCAGGAGCAAAAACAGATGGTCTAGTTCTTAAAACTTCGTAAAGAGAAAAAAAAAACAACCTTAAGAACTTGATTCAAAAATAATAGAACAAAAAGAAACTAATAAACAAACCTTAACAAGGAACATTTGAGTCTATTGTTACATACCGAGATGTTGAAGAAAAGATAAATGGGAAGAATTCTACTCAAGTAGGAAGAGAAGTTAAGATGAGAGCAATAAGCTAAGGCATGCCTGATTGGTATCTTCTCCCAGGCACTGAGGGTCATGTATCATAAAGTCTGAAATCTTTTGAAGAAGACAGAGAGTGGCCAAAGCAAAAGAAAAGATAAGACTAATTCTGAACTGCCAAAGTCACATCCAAGGGCTAAGCAGAAACTGTTCATGAATAGATGCCTAACGACCTTAGGGCTTTCACAGAGTGTTGCTCTAGGGCTGGGAGCCCCCTTTAGGTGTGAAGCAGGGAGATCGAAATTTAAATTTATGCCATTGTGACCTATTTATTTGATATTTTTTAAAAAGAAATAAAATAAATGTAAGAGGATGAACTTACTGTCTTTTAATGGGGCAAAACAGCTGAAGTTACTGGTCCTGAAGGATGTGTAACAGCATTTGTATCCCAAACATTCACTCCTGTTATAATCTTGCAGCTCATTGCAAGCCTTCACTACCTGATTCACCTTTGGAATGCACGCTTTCAGAAACAAAATCCAAGAAAAAGAACTCAGTATGGTTAATAAGCATTTTCCCTAATTAAATAATGACTGCAAAACAAAAAAAAAATCATTCAAACTGGTGCGTTTAAAGACTGAATGACATATGCAAAGTGATGAATGCTGAAAAGAATAAGAGTTAAGCTAAAAATTATCACAAAGTTATTAACATCACATTTCAATTCTAGGTGAACTGCAGAAAAATATAAATTGTTAACAGGTCATTGGTAAGGCAGTTTTAAAAGGACTATAGATTATAAACTGAGTAGTAGGATACATATATAAAACAGAAGGAGCTAAATAACAAGAAATATCAAATGTCTTTAAAACCGACACCTTGTTAAAATAATACCATTGATATCCTCTCACTCAATTCTTCTAAGCTACAGAAATTCATTAAATATGTCAATGAAAATGAATATAGGTAAAATTCACAGTTTATTGCTAGAGTATAAGGTAAGTGGTACTACTGATATTGACCTACTTTCTGTGAACACTTACCATATTAGCACTACAGTATGTTTTAAGATTCTTCCTTTTGGCCTTAAATTATGTCTCTATAATTTTGAATAGGCAATGATTTATAGCATGAACACCAAGGTTCATGCAACTGCAATAAATCCATACATATCTGAATCTATAAGATTTGCAAGCTCATGAATAGATAAATAAATAAATAAAGATGCACAAGCTCAAATACCTGATTTTAAAAAATCTTGTTTTATAAGCAAATGACGTATAAACAAATGACAACCAAATAGACAGACATCATGTTTTATATTCAAAAAGAAAACTTCCACAGTATGGCTTAAGGCCAACATAAATTCAGTTCACTCTCCAATACGATCAACAACTACGGACTTAGAAAAGTAATAACTGATATTTCATGATCGCTCCAAAGAACTTTAATGTCAACAAAGAACAATATCATGGTTACAGGCATACATAATTTTTTATCTCTTAGTATATATATACTAAGAGATAAAAATTATAAAAAATGAATATATGTATGTGTGTGTGTGTATATATATATATATATACACACACACACATACATATATTCATTCTCCTTTTTAAAGATTGGCAATTCCTAAAACTAAAGTAAAAGTAATAATAGCTACCATTCACTAGGTATCTATTTGGGCCAGGTTCCTTGCTTTACACACATTTCTAATTTTCACAACAAACTCTCAAAATGAGTTTCAAAACCCCCATTCTAGAAATAAAGAATCAAAGTAATCTGCAAGGCCATAAATTTAATGCATTTCTAGCTGACTTGGATATTCATTTCCCACACATTTTATACATGTGAGAGTTTGGTCTACTTTCTTTTTATCTGACAGAGAGAGAGAGAGAGAGATCACAAGTAGGCAGAGAGGCAGGCACAGAGAGCGGAAGCAGGCTCCCCACTGAGCAGAGAGTCCGATGTGGGCCTCGATCCCAGGACCCTGAGACCATGACATGAGCCAAAAGCAGAGGCTTAACCCACTGAGCCACCCAGGCACCTGGTCTACTTTCTTGTTATATACACTGGGCAATCTATTCTCCAATTCTGCCAGGCCCACAGTGATTTCCTCCCTCAGGCTGGACTGCATTGGGAATACCATGTTCATTCCTAGGCACCAGACACTCAAAAAACGGTGACTAGAGTCAGGGCCTGGTCAGAGATGGTATGAACTTACTGCGTGTTGAATTTACTATTGGCATTGCTCAAAGACCAATTTCCAGGAATGGAAGTCAAAGAAGAGATTTTAAATCACAGAAGAGACTGGACTGTATGATCTCTAAGATCCCATCTAATGTTGAACTTCTGTTATTTTATACTGAAATTGCATCTGATGGACTTTATGCCAGATACTAAAATTAGCTTTCAGACTTAAATTACCAAGACACCTGTATTTTGAAGAATAAAAAGGGTAGACTAATTTTTATCAGGTTTCTGTATATAATTTTGTCCAAAGAGAGAACGATCATGTGACCTCTCGAGCTTCCCTGCCAGTCTGTCTCAAGGTTATCACTTTAATGAGCAAGAGATAAATCTTTGATGAACAACAGCCTGATGACAAAACGGCAGGCTTTTTTTTTTAGTGCTTATGTGGGGAGAGTGTTCCTTTTCAATTATACACAGGAGGAAATAAATTGGTTAAAAGTACTTCACATCTTATGAACTCGTAGTTATTCTTTTCAAAGAGAAAGCATATGCATTTCATAAATATTTAATCCCTGTTTTTGAAAGATTTGAATCAACCTGGGCCCAAAGTTTCTTTTAAAATGAACAGTCTGATTTTGTTGGGTGTCTCATACCAGGTTGAAGGAATATTTTGGAATGCAGATATTCATATTTAAGCTATTTTTAAAGGTGGCTTCAGTGTTTGTATAATGTTATTAGAGGTAATTATGGGACAGTGTATGTCTGTTATCTCCATAAGCTCTAAAGCTTAAATCATCATCTGTTGTTGTTTATGAACAACTTTGGCACTCAGTAACCATTTTTTAAGTTTCACAACATACCACCTTCTCAAATTTCTTTCTTTTTTTTTAAGTTTTATTTCTATTTTTTTAAAGATTTATTTATTTGTTTTAGAGAGAGTGTGTGTGAGCTGGGGTGCAGGGCAGGGCAGAGAGAGAGGGAGAGAAGCAAACTCCTGGCTGAGTGTGGAGCACCATGAAAGGCTCAATCTCATGACCCTGAGATCATAACCTGAGTTGAAATCAAGATTTGGATGCTTAACTGACTGAGCCACTGAGGCACCCTGATTTTTATTTTTATTTTTTTACAGTAAACTCTATGCCCAACATGGGGCTTAAACTTACAACCCCAAGATTGAGATGCTCTACCGACTGAGCCAGCCAGGCAACCCCTCAAATTTCTCTTTGTTCACTCAACTTGACCATGACCATTTTTAAAGTTTATTTAAGGTCCTCATTTATTTTGTTATTCTCATTAGTAGTAGGTGTTATAATGCCTGTTTTGTACTGGATGAAACCAATATAGAGAACTGTGAAGAGAGTTATGCAAGATCACAGAAAAATTAAGTGGTAGACCCTGAAATTAAACAATGGATACAATTTTGTGCTTATATATGTACATCAAATTTTGTTAGAATAAATTCTCATGATTTTTAATAAAAGCTTCATCCTTGTAATTCATGTATCAATTTATTTGAAGATTCTCCTTGAAAGGGCACCACATGCTGTAGAAAATGACACATGTTTATTTGTGGTTAATAATTCTCAGAGGTCATCATGTGCTTGATAAACACATTATATACAGAATCACAAAAATATGATGTGACTTGAAACCTGAACTTTTTATCATTAAAACAGATGGGAGAACATCTGGTATAATCCATAACATCAGAGCCACACAGTTCCCTGATTAATGCTAAAGAAGATATTGATTTCACAATATTGCGTCAGTGACTAAATTTCAGGCAATGCCAGTAAGATAAATTATGAAAGGTTTAGATATTTGTGAAGGAGAAGCATTTCCATAAAGAGTTAACATTTATGGAATGTCTTAAAAGTACAGTTTCAGGTCATCCTCACAATTCTTTGTGGTATTTTTATTTTAAAGATGAGGACACTGAAGTTCAGAGATGTTACCTCGCCTAAGGCAAAGGGCAGAATCAGCATTAAAACTCAGGTCTGGCTCTCCCCGGTGCCAATAGCCCACACTGCCTCCTAAACATGTAATTACTCTTCAAAAAGAGAACAGTGGGAGGAAAAAAAAAAAAAACAAAGAACTTACTTGTTGGAAAGAAAAAATTTAACAGAGCTTCCCAAATGGAAGTTTTTTCCAGAGACCGTCCATTAGCATCTTCACCGCTCCACAGAATATGTTCACTTGGAGACACAGAATTCGAGAACCCTTAAGAAACAGTGAAATTATTAATCCCAAAGTATAAAGCATTGATCACTTTTTATGACCCTTTAGTAGTAATTACCTTTTGCTTAGTTAAATTAATTATGGAAAGTCTAAGGACTAACAGGTATTATACTTACATCTCATAACAGCTTAGGTACTATTAATCAGAATGTGATTCTGCTGAAAACTGAAAAACTAAGTATTAATATTTTAAAATTTTTTAATTAAAAATAATTTTAAAATGCTTAAGCCATAGGCTAACACATCTTATTATTGTGCTATAAACTGAATTAAAATACTGAATTTGCCTCTGACAAACAACATTAACATTCAGAGGCCCAACCAATTAAAAACTTGGAAACAGTATGTATCCCAACTAAATCAGACCCCATCACAGAAACTCTTGGCATATATTGATGGCTTCTTTATTTACTGATAAAAATGAAGCCCTTAGACATTGTAAAACTCTCCTTATCCTTCTTCCTCAACACTTCAAACAGACCGCTGTTAGTTTTATTTGCATCATTCCCTCTGATACAAGAGGAAAGTATATCTGTCTTTGTTCCTGTAGCATGGATTTGTCCATATCATTCAATATTTTTCAAGACAATCTTTAATAATTTCACAGTATTCCATTATATAGCCCTATTACAACTAAGTTAACCATTCCCCCATAGAAAGACATTTAAGTTATTCACAAGATATTGATATTATAAAGAATACTGCATAGAACTCATAGATACAAAAACAAAACAAAACTCATAGACAAAGAAGAGATTGGTGGTTGCCAGAGACAGGTGGTAGGGGTAGATGAAATGGGTTAAAGGAATCAAAAGGTACAAAATTCCAGGTATAAAATAAATAAGTTCTGGGGATGTAATGTACAACACGGTGACTGTAGTTAATAATACTGTATTGCATATTTAAAGTTGCTAATAATACTGTATTGCATATGTAAAGTTGCTAAGAGAGTAGATCTCAAAAGTTTCCATCACAAGAAAAAATCATTTGTAACTATGTACGATAATAGATGTTAACTAGAATTATTGTGATCATTTTGCAATATATACAAATATCTAATCATTATGTTGTACACCTGAAACTAATATAATGTTATATGTCAATTATACGTCAGTGAGATAAAAAGAAAGAACACTGTAATGATAACCCCTGGAACTATATATTTGCCGGTAGCTATGAAAAATACCTTAGGATAAATTAGTAAAGAATGGCTCTTGATTTTGGTGACACTACCTTCTAGCAAGCCTGCCCAAAAGTACACTTCTACCAGTAGTGCAGGTAAATACCAGTTTTCTCGCACCCTAGACTTTTTGTTGCTGTTTGCCAGTTTGATGGCGAAATTAATGGTATTTCTTTTGTTTTAATTGCACCTTCAGTCATCAGTGAGCTTACATCTTTTTTTTTTTTAAGATTTTATTTATTTGACAGAGAGAGAGAGATCACAAGTAGGCGGAGAGGCAGGCAGAGAGAGAGAGAGAGGAGGAAGCAGGCTCCCCACTGAGCAGAGAGCCCGATACGGGGCTCGATCCCAGGACCCTGGGATCATGACCTGAGCCGAAGGCAGAGGCTTTAACCCACTGAGCCATCCAGGTGCGCCGAGCTTACATCTTTCATACATTTGTTGTATAATAGAGAACTTAAGCTTTAGTCTGTCACATATGTTACAAATATTTTTCAAGGTAGTCAGCTATCTTTATATTTTTTATGATGTTTTGGGAAGTTCAAAAGTTTCAAGTGTTTTATGTAATCAAATGTATCAATCTCTTCCTTTACTATTTCTGCCTTTTGGGTCATGTTTAGAAAGATATTCTAAATTCCAATATTTCCTTCTACCACTTTTTTTAAAGATTTTATTTATTTATTTGAATGACAGAGAGTGAGTGAGAGAGAGCACAAGCCAGGGGAGGCACAGAGAGAGAGGGAGGAGCAGACTCCTTGCTGAGCAGGGAGCCAGATGTGGGACTCCATCCCAGGACCCTGGGATCATGACCTGAGCTAAAGGCAGGCACTTAACTGACTGAGTCACCCAGGTGCCCTCCTTCTAACACTTTTGAAATTCATATCTTTAATCCACCTGGAATATATTATGAAGTAGGGATGCTTTTTTTCTAGTTGTCCAAATACATAAAGTCCATCCTTTCCTACTTATGATACTGCCATCATATTCTAGGTCATTAAAGAGTTATAAATCTGATTCTTAAATTTTCTACTCTGTTCCATGACTCTATGTGTTCATGAACCAATAGCACCACTGTTATAATTTATCTTACACTGTTATATGTTTTAATAACTGATCTGGCAATCCTTTCATTAGTCTTCATTATCAACATTTTATTCTTAACTCTGAAGAATTTTTTAGATGAAGCTTAGAATCATTTTATCAAGTCAAAAAAATTAATAATATTTTTATTGCAATTATGTTCACTTATTTAAAATTCATTAAAAATATTTATTGTGTGTCTCATGTGCTTGGCACGAATTCAGTTATATGTCAGCTCATTTGAAATGAAGTGATAACTGTACAGTATTTTTACACCCAATAATAGGTTTGTTTTCTCCACTCATTCAACTCTCTTTTTCTCTCCCTGAGTAAGGTTTATTGTTAGATTCATGCAGGTCCCATGCCTTATTCTTACTATGTTTACTCCCTAATATCATATATATTTTGCTATGTGAATATAATCTATTTCATTACATTTTCTAGTTGATTTATTGCTGGTATGTAAGAAATCTATTGATTTGGGTTCATGTATATTCTGATTCACTACCTTATTTGACGCTCTTTAGCTCTCCACTGTTCTCCAGTTTCATTCCAGATCTATACAATCATATTATCACTAAATATAGATGGTTTTGCCTCCTTTCTTTCCAATACTAACAGCTCATTTCTTTTTCTTCTCTCACTTCATTGCTAGAACTTCTGAAACTATGGTGAAAAACAGCTATGATAATGGGCATACTATAGTCGATCCTGACTCTAATGAGAATGCACTAGTGTTTCAACATTAAGTATAACTGGCTGCTGACTTAATGTGTGTGTGTGTATGTATATATATATATATGTATATATATATATATATATATATATATATATATATGATAGGATATCAAAATTACCAACGACACCAAAAAAAGTTGACATAACTCACCATACAGCAAACCTTTATAAAATCCCCCTTAACATCTCTATTCTTTCATCCCAGGGAGCAGTTAAACTGTCCTTTCCTCTCTCCAAAATCTCCCATCATCCCTCATCTAAGTCTTCTCAGATCTTCCTCTTCACCCTATTAGGCTCCAGACTCTTTCTCCTCTGGCATTGTATTTCATAGGCAGAATAACTCCATCCTCTCTGCCTCTAATTTGCATGTGTACACTCATTATGCTCAGCAAACAAAAGATTAGGCACCAGCGTCCTTAAAAGGCAGGAAGAAATGGTAAAAAAAAAAAAAAACAATTATGTTTCCCCGTCACAAAGAATTTTATTTTTTAATTTCCCTGTTACAAAAAGAGACTGAAAATCTAACTACATTTAAAAAAGAAAAAACAGACTCAAAGCTGCAGGATCCATGGGTATGAGACCTGTGCAATCTACAGAGTCTGGCTCTTAGAAGGACCCTACTCTTGGGGTCCTAGTTCTGCTATCATCTTGAAATGTGTAATAAATTTTGAACAAGGGACCTTGTATTTTCATTATGCAAATTATGTTGCCAGCCCTACTCAGCAGGAAAGTCTCTCAGATGAGGAACTGTATTAAAGAGTGAGGAGACAGAATGGGAGTAGTGGCTAATGGTATCACATTGGAGAAGTTCGGTTGGGACTTTTCTGGGCTTTGGTCTCAAATAGACCTGAATTTGCATTCTGGCTCTGCTACATAATCGTTGGTGAACTTCAAATCAGTAAATTTCTCTTTGCCTCAATTTATTCATCTGTAAAATGGAGATAATGTTTATTTTGAAGGATTGTAAGGAGTAAATGAAGTAAAAAATGAAGTGCTTAGTACAATGTAAAACGGGTAAATATTTTGTCATACATCCTCCATTGTTTATTTTAATTTTATTGCTTATAATTTTAAATTTAATAACATTACTTTGTTTTCAGGATATTTATTTTTATAAATAATTGTCATAGTAGCAAAGGTGACCAGTTTTCAATTTATAATTGTGCTATAGTTTCCTTTTAAAATATATATATTTATGTTAAAAAAGTGGGGCAGTTCAACAAAAGATGAAAAACTGGTAACATTAAGATAATCAAGAACTATGCAGGTGTTATACAAATGACCAAGGCAGGAGAAACACTTATCTAGTGAAATCTCAATTTTTAGACAAGATAACAGAAACCTAAAGAGGTAAGGTGACTCATCAAAGGTCACACAGCACGTCAGTGACAGAATCAAGATAACTTAGGTCTCCTAACTCCTAATTCAGAGCTCCTCCAAACACACCACATGCACAAATGGTTAAAACAAGAGCAAGCATGGTGCTTAATGAGGTACATGGCAAGCAGCCAGACCTTCTTTTAATATGCACTGCCTCGTTCATTCCCCATGGAGAGCAGGTAAGTGAAGTATTCTAATATAATAATACAGAAACTAGTCACATGGTTTTGTCAATGGAGCTGAAGTATTTTGAAAATACTACCTATTAGTAAATCTTTATTTCTTGTTTTATGTTTTAAATCTCCCTGAAAAAGATGTGCAATGAAGACTGATTCAATAGGTTACAGAAAATTGGTAAAATAGGTGGGATCAAATTCTCAGTCCCCAATCTGCTAGTCTCCTCATCCTGTATGTCACCAGTCTTTATGTCCTCTACATAAATATAACCTGAAAAGCAAAGTGGCTTGGGGACCCGAATGAAAATATGAAACTAGAAATATCCCGGAGCTACCTCAAGTCCTTCAACTTCAAATTCCATTGGTGACATTAAGTCTAAAAGAACTCAGAATTGTCTGTCTAGGAAAGAGAAGGGGAAATTTAGCTCTAGGACCATGTAAATTTCACCATAATCCTCCAGGCCATGGAGGCCGCTTACTCTTCAGTGTGTATTAGTTTGCTAAGGTTGTTGACACAAAGAACCATAAACTGGGTGACTTAAACAATAGAAACTGATTGTCTTACAATTCTGGAGGCTAGAAGTCCCAAAATCAAGATGTCAATAGGATTGGTTCCTTCTGAGGGCTGGGAAGAAAACCTCTCTCCTTGGCTTATATACAGCGGTCTTCTTCCTGTGTCTATTCATTTGGTCTTTTCTCTATGAATGTCTAACTCTGTGTCCAAATTCCCCCTTTCTATAAGGACACCAGTCCTATTGGATTAGGGCTCACTTCATTTTAATTTGATCACCTCTATAAAGACCTTTGCCCCAAATAAAGTCACATTCTGAGGTACTTTGGTTTAAAATTCTAACTTTTTTTCTGGAAGGGACACAATTCAACCCATAACACACTGCATTTAGTTAAATTAATTAAGTTAAATCATTTAAAATGCAAAATGATACTTAATCCATCCAGTCACATATCACCTCCTGGGAATCTGGGAAATCTGACAATATAAAGAATGAATCATGGATTATTTTAGGAGAAAACATGTTAAACCTATATTGGAAAAAGTCCCCAAGGAAATAAAGAAATCACACTGAATAACAGTATTCTTTTTTTGTAAGAGTTCTACTCAAAATAGAAATAGAAAATGAAGAAATCATGGACTAAGAAAAAAATGATGTACAATTTATAGTTTTGTTTTTTAACTTACTTTTTCAGAGAATGAAAAAGCTCTCAGTTTGTAAGGCTCTCAAATGTATTTGTAACTAACATTTACAAATACAGTAAAAGTAATTCAGAAATACTTTGGTATTTTAGATGAATAGAAGAAAAAATAAATATGAATAATTTGAAGTAATATGATTTGCAAGCAATCATTTAAAAAGTATCTTAAGATATTTGTGAAAGAGCAAAAATTATATTTTCCCAACTTATGTAAAATAGCTGATAGAAGAATGAACAGCATATACTTTATTTAGTTTTGAATTTCGTCCCCCACCAAAAGTTACAAACCCACAAAGTTATGACATAGTATACAGAGGTCTGTTCCATTTACTGACAATGCCTCTGCTCAATTTTTGCCTCCTTCTTTGACTGTAGGAGGACCTTGGTTGGGGGGATGGAAGGTCCTGGAGCAGGCAGGGAAAGAAAAGTCCTTGAGCTTAGAGGTGGAGGGATAAGGTTGGAGCTTGAGTGAGGGAGAAAGACTGTGGGAAAGCCAAGGCCTTTATGCAGATGAGGAGACAGAATACCATTGAGAGGGAGCTGTGAGGGAGGGCAGGCCAGGGGTTAAGGTAGAGAAGGTACTTTTGAGAAGGCCAACTTGGAGCTAAGGAGAGAAGGCTGTGGGGAAAGGAAAAGTATTTGAGTGAGGGACAAGAAATATTTGAAGAAGGAGGTGGGAAAGACTTTGAGGAAAATGAGGCAGCAAGACCATTGAGTAGACAGAAAAGAAGGCTCTGGGGCAGAAGGAGAGAGTACCTTTGAGCAGTGAAGGAGGAAAAACTTAAGGGTAGGGAGAAGGAGGGCCTTTGGAGGGCTGAAAGAGGCCTCTAAAAGGATAGTGAGCAAAGAAGGCCCGAAGGAGGGTAATAAGGAGGTAAGAAGGATTTTGAGCAAGGGGAGGAGGGACTTCGTGACATTAAGTTAGAGAGAGGACGGCATGAAGTTAGTGAATGAAGGCATTTTTCCAAGGGAGGTCTGGAGTGAAAACCTGGAGCGAGGGGAATCAAGGGCTTTGTGAGATAAAGAAGAAAGGCTTTTGAGGAAGGGGAGAGGAGGCCTGTAAGGTGAGCAAAGGAAAGTCATCCTGGGGAGGTGAAGAATGAAAAGACCTTGATTGAAAGTTTGAGCGGTGAGGGAGGGAATACATCTACCAGGTAAGGTGACAGAGAGAAGGCCTTTAGGAGTATAAGTAAAGAACACGTTTTTAAGAAAGGGAGGAAATCGCAATTCTGCTCCTAGGTATATGCCCAAGAGGGCTGAAATCACATTGACACAAACACTGTACACAAATATTCACAGCAATATTACTCATAATAACTGACAATCAGAAATAACCCAAATGCCCAGAACATAATCAGTGTATACACAAAATGCAGGATATTCATGCAATGGAATATTATTCATCCATTAAGATGAAATGAAGTACTGATACGTGCTACAACAGGTGTATATCTCAAAAAACGTCATGCTAAGTAAAAGAAGCTGGATTTTCACTTGGGTGGATGAAAACATTTTGGAACCAGGTAACGGCAGTGGCTTTGCAAGAGTGAAATATACTAAATGCCACCAACTCATTCGCTATAAAACGGGCCATTTTCTGGGAGGGAAATTCACCTCCGTTTAAAAAAAAAAAAAAGGCTGGGGGCTGAGGGAGATTAGAATTTTAGAATTTTGTAGGTTGGAAGTCGGCAAAGGGAGGTCGAGATGAAAGGCCCCGGGAGGAAGGGCTTTGGGAGGGGCTCTGAGGGACGCGAAAGGGGAGAGATTAGGGGATTATGGGGAGGAGAAGCGGGGAGGTGGAGAGGCGCGGGGGCGGGAGGGGGGGTTGGAAAAGCGGGGGGGGGGGCGGGGGGGAGCAGGGGCGGGAGATAGAGACGCAACTGCGTGGCTCGGCAGAGGCTGGCCACGGCCACTCACCGGTGTTCAGGTAGTAGCACAGCAAAAGCAGCATCCAGACGGCAAGCAAGAGCAGCCCAAAGCACTTGTGGGCCCACATCTTCAGCAGAGAATGGCGCGTCTCCGCCCGCAGGCCTCGCAGAGACGCTTGCCAGCCGGGCTGAGGCGTGGCTGCCATGAGGGCCTGGTGCCCGGGGATGCTGCCCCCTGGGTGCGACCCGATGGCTGCATTATCCGCACTACACCCCGCCTCACAACCTAGCAGCCTGGAGCGAGGCCCTCGCAGGACCCTGGGCTTTGATCTAGTCCTCCCCAGAATCAACCTCCCCTCGGAAGCCATGGCTCTGGGTCGCTGCCTCACCGAAGTGACGCATCAGTGCCACGGACCCATGACCCAAAAGCCCCCACGGTGATGACGTAGACGTGGCCCCCCTCAGTCTCACGTGCCAGGCCCCGCCTCTTTTTAACGGCCGTCCTATTGTCTTGTGCCCCCTCCCCCACCCAAGGCCTGGCCCTTCTGCTGCTTTGCTTGTGAAATGCCCTTGAATGAATGACTGCAGCCTGGAGCCTGGTCCTGTGACGTGACTGCTTGTCATGGATCCACCAGATATTTCGAGGGAATTCAGACCCTAGCCTTGGCTGCTCATTCTTCCCCAGATTCAGCTCTGTGACGCATGCCATACTCTGCGGCCACTACCATTAAGTTAGTCCCCACAGTAGCCACTAGGCAAATATGGCGGTTTAAATGGCAATTCTAACTAATTAAAATTAAACAGAGTTAAGGAACCAGTTCCTCAGTCACAACAGCCATGTATCAAGTGCTCAGTGGCCAGACATATCTCGTAGTGACCATATAGGTCGGTGCCAGTTTGGAACGTTTCCATCATGGTGGAAAGCTGGATTGGGCAGCGCTGGATTGCATAGTGACTAGCGAATATGGTAGATAATTTCGTACGTTGTTACCCCATAGGAGGAGCTTTTAAGTGGAACGACATGATATTTGCCTTCAGAGATTTTAAGGTTTAGTTACCAATAAATGAAACAAGACAACGTGAGGACAAAGAATGTGTGAGGAACACTAAAGAGCCACTCCGAGCACTTAGATTTTATTACCGTCATTTGCCACCAACGAATGGGGTAGCCCTAAGTGTCTTCCTACTTGGCCTCAGTGCGGCAATGTGTAAATAGAGAGTTAGCATCGTCTCTAAGCCCCCTTTTGACTCTAAAGTCTGACCCGTGGGCAAAATCCCAGTAGCTTGCATGGTTTGGGTGTGTCTGCAAAAGGAACATGTAGTTGAGGCTGGCTTACCTATAGCCTACCTCATCCCAGTTTTCAAAGGATGTGAAAACTGCCCCTCGCAACTGCATTTCCATCCTTGTTTTTATAGCATTTTACTCTGGCTTTCCAAATAGTTTTCTACTGATTTTGTTCTATTGTTCTTATTGTTCTTTCCAATGTTAATAGGCATTCCATAAGGGGAAGGAGGGAGGAATGTTTCTATGCAAATAATTCTTGACGCTTAGCCCACTAGACCCCACCCCCACATCCAGCAGCAATTCATAAAGCTCTTTAGTTTCTTAAAGGATATGACAAGAAAAGAACCCGCTTCCCTCTCTTTGTATTTTTTATAATTTTTTTTTGCCTCAACTTTTCCCAAACTAATTTAACCAGAGGACACCGGTCACACTTAACAACTTCTGAAACCGCTGCTTGCAACTCTGAGAAACTGAATTTACCTGACTTTACCCCACTTGCGAGTAACAAGAGAAGCTACTGCAGTTTCAAGGATGCTGGAAGAAGATGCAAGACAACTGGGGCAGAGGCAAAAGATGAAAGCTCCCCTGAGACATGCAGAAACTTGAGAGACCCATGAACAATTGCCTACCAACAGCAACCTTGTTCATGTCATAGCACACATGGAAAATGATCCTGTGACCAGGCACCATGCAACCACCCAGAGGGCTCAGGGGATTAAGCTAGAGCACATGGGTTAGGCACTCAGCTCTTTACCACTTCACAGTTTATGCTCTCTGAGACTTAGTTTCCCCTTCTGCAAATTATGGGCTATGGGCAGCCTGATTATGAAGATCCCTTCCTGCTCTGCTTGCTGTGACTTGTCCTGGACAGTAGCATTTGGGGTTGCTGTAAACAGGCAAGGCATGGCAGTTCTCCAGCAATGCAGTACTCCTAAGCAAGCCACATTCTGCTATTTGAAACCCAAATTACTAACTGGAACTCGGAGGGACAAAAATCCCTAAGATTATGCCTGAGCAATCCCTGGATTACATAACGCTAATTCAAGATTGGAGACACAAAAAGCCATGTGAACTGTCCATTTTGAAGATTATCAGATGGTGATTTAAAATTCTGCACTGGCGTTCCTCTTTCATTCTATATTCTCGGGGTAGCTAAATTTGATACTAGACCCAGACCTAATTAGGGAGGAAAATCTGTTGTATGGGCATGAATCCAAGAACTGCCTCATGAGGTGGTACATACCACTGCTCAGAATGCCACTACTGTTCTTGTGGAAAATTGAGAATTGATACTATTTTTTAAATATTGCCATAGACAGACAGGAAAAGATGCTCAACCTCTGGTAATCAGGGGAATGCAAATTAATCAACAATGAGATCATTTTATGCTCATCAGATTGGCAAAAATTAAATATTCATAAGAATATGCAAAAATAGAAATTCAGTCATTGCTGGTGGAGATGTAAGTGGGTACAACCATGTTGGAGTGCAATTTGACAACACTTTGTAAAGTTAAATATCCATGTAGTTTGTGATGCAGATGCAGAAATTCTACTTTAGGGATCTATCCTGTCATCCATGTGTAAAACAAAGACATTCATTGTTTTAGTGAAAGCAGTGTAAAGGATGTCTCAGTAGGGAAATGGAAACACAGTGTAGTCCCATCATATAACATAGTATACTACTAGTATATAGTACTTAATGGCAATCAAGATCAATCACCCTAGCCAACATACCAACATGGTCATTCTCTCTCTCTCTCTTTCTTTTTTTTTTTTTTTTTTGTTGTTGCTTTGCCTAGTGGCATGAAGTGGCAGTCTCAGCTTCTAGTTCAGGGGAAGCATTGTTGTGTTCCCTGAAAGAAATTGTCCTCTCCTAGATAATAAACTTCCAAAAGAACAGAAGCCAGAGTTGTGGGAATGAGAAGCAAAGTGCAAAATTTTTGCAAGTGGGTCATTAGGTATTTCTCACCACTACCCCTTAATTCTTAGCCTCATGGGTCCTGTTATGGGAGAAACCACGATGTATGTTGATGGGCCCTAGTTCAGAGTGTTGAGAGAGAGCACCTCAAACTCATGGAGTGCTTTCTCCTAGGTGGTGTCATACTAGGTTTTCAAGAGGTGATTTCATTGTTCTATTAGGCCAACCTCTTTTTGTCAGCTTTATTAAGGTATAATTGCTAAAAAAAAAAGTGTAAGATATTTAAAATCTACACATAGTGGTTTGATACACATATACACTGTGAAAGGATTCCCTCTATCTAGTTAATTAAGACAGCCATTACCTCACATATTTAGCTCTATCTTTTGCTTTTGCTCTTTTTTCTTTTCTTTCTTTCTTTCTTTCTTTCTCTCTTTCTTTCTTTCTTTCTTTCTTTCTTTTTGGTGAGAACACTTAATTTCTCAGCAAATTTAAATGATATAATGCAGTGTTATCAACTATGGGCACCATGTGTCACATTAGATCCTCAGACTTTATTCATCTTATAGCTGAAAGTCTATACCCTTTTTACCAACCTCTCTCTATTTCCCCCACCTTCCAGCTCCTGACAATCACTTTCCTTTCTTTCTTTTTTAAAAATTAACATATAATGTATTATTTGCTTCAGGGATGCAGGTCTGTGAATCATCAATCTTACACAATTCACAACCCTTACCGTAGCACATACCCTCCCATTGTCCATCACCCAGCCACCCTATCCCTGTCCCCCACCCCAGCAGCTCTCAGTTTGTTTCATGAGATTTAGAGTCTCTGTGGTTTGTCTCCCTCCCTGGTCCCATCTTGTTTCATTTTTTTCCCTCCCTACCCCCACAACCCCCCCCATCCTGCCTCTCAAATTCCCCATATCAGAGAGATCATATGATAATTGTCTTTGTCTGATTGACTTATTTCGCTAAGCATAATACCCTCTAGTTCCATCCACGTCATTGTAAATGGCAAGATTTCGGGGTTTTTTTGGTGGCTACATAGTATTCCATTGTGTATATATACCACATCTTCTTTATCCATTCATCTGTTGATGGACATCTAGGCTCTTTCCATATTTTGGCTATTGTGGATATTGCTGCTATAAACATTCAGGTGCACATCTGGCCGTCACTTTTCTAATCTCTGTTTCTATTTCTATGAGTTTGACTTTTTTAAAAAGTTAAAATTCCACATACAAAAGATACCACAAAGTATGTGATTTCTCTGCCTAGCTTATATTCTGAAAAAAAAAAATTCATTGGACTATGTTCTAACAAATTTCTGTGACTACTGTTGAGTTGTAATAATACATATATAAGTTTCAATTCAGAACATTTTATAAGAGTTTTTTTTTTTTTTAAGATTTTTTATTTATTTATTTGACAGAGAGAAATCACAAGCAGGCAGAGAGAGAGGAGGAAGCAGGCTCCCTGCTGAGCAGAAAGCCCGATGCGGGGCTTGAACCCAGGACCTGGGATCATGACCTGAGCCGAAGGCAGCGGCTTAAACCACTGAGCCACCCAGGTGCCCCACAATTCAGAACATTTTAATTGCATATTCTTTAATCCACGCTGTATTTACATGGAAGTTAAGTTGGAGTAATTCCAGTTTTAGAAAACTTCCAGTTGAGCAATGCCTAGCACCTGTTGGATCCAACAACATATGGTCATTTTGTTTTTGTTTTTTTTAAAGATTTGATTTGATTTCAGTGTTCTGAGTTTCATTGTTTGTGCACCACACCCAGTGCTCTATGCAATACATGCCCTCCACAATACCCACCACCAGGCTCACCCATCTCCCCACCCTCCTCCCCTCCAAAACCCTCAGTTTGTTTCTCAGTGTCCACAGTCTCTCATGCTTTGTCTCCCCCTCTGATTTACTCCCACTCACTTCTCCTCTCCATCTCCCAATGTCTTCCGTGTTATTCCTTATGCTCCACAAGTAAGTGAAACCATATGATAATTGACTCTCTCTGCTTGACTTATTTCACTCAGCATAATTTCCTCCAGTCCCGTCCATGTTGATACAAAACTTGGGTATTCATCCTTTCTGATGGAGGCATAATACTCCATTGTATATATGGGCCATGTCTTCTTTATCCATTTGTATAGACCA